CCGCTTTGAGGAGGGGTCGCCCCCATCCGCGTAGCAGTGCACAAAGAGTGCAGATCGGGCCATCAGGCTTGAGGAGGCCTCCAGCGCACACCGCATATCGAGGCGGAGCCTCCCTGCATCCGTGCGGTTGGCACATGGCCTCAATCTTCGGGCGGTCGGATTCGAGGACGCCTCCAGCGACAACCACACGATGAAACTCCGAAGCCATCCATGCATGTAACGCTTGCCAGGCTTTGGGAACGCACGTGCGCGGCGCTACGGCGCGAGCCCAATCTTGCCAAGCACACCGTCCTCCCCCCTTGCAAATCTTGCAGGCTTTTGAGGGGCGGTGTTGAGCATCACTGAGCACCCCTGCATCCATGGCCCTGGGCATCGCTTCACCGATCCCCATCCCCACCGGCGTGGCCTGGGCCCCACTTGGGGATACGGTCGACCCGTATCATAAGGACGCACGGTAAGGATGCAAGGGCCGGGGAAGGCCGCTTCGAAGCCTCTCGAGCGGGGCGCGGCCATCGAAAGTGGCCAAGGCTGGGCCGAGGAGGCGAGGGTGCAACGGTGCCCTCGGGACAATTGCCAATCCGGGCTAAGCGGGTGGACTGTGCAATCGGCCTGTTCCCTGCGGGCGTCGAGCGGCATGTCCCCGACTGGGGCGGCGGGAGGGCGGGGCCGAGATGCCGTTGGTCGATAGTGAGACCCCTTGCTGTAGGTCGCGCGTGTCCTCCTGCAGGCGGATCTTGGACGACAAACTAAGAAGAGCCAACGAATACGCCAGAATAGACAAGAAAAGTCAATTCATCGTCAGCCGTACTTGTTCTGCGCATTCTTGAAAACTCCTCCTGTAGAGGGACATGCCCGACTTAGCTAGCGTTCTTTTTTACACGGCGTGTCGACATTAGGCAGAAGAGGGGGGGGGGTGTCTGGCTCCGGACCTCTGCTCGGTGCGGCGGTTTGGAACCGTGCGTCCTCTGGGGGAGCCGCCACCTGCCCGAAAGAGGCGCCAGAAACTTCCAGGATCTACTCCATGGGGGGGGGAGGGGGGGCGTGGCGGGCCCGCGCCGATCGGAGGAGGAGGAGGAGGCAGCAAGTGGAGGATGTATGGTGAGGAGAAGGAGGAGGAGGAGGAGGAGGGAGGGAGGGAGGGAGGGAGGGAGGGAGGGAGGGAGGAGGAGGATAACAACGATCTCCTACGTAACCCTTGCCCCTGGGAGCGGTGGGGCGCCCGCCGGCCCCCCCTCCCGCGGTGGGTTGAGCAGGGACCGCCCGTCCCGGCATTCCTATAGGCCTACCGCGATATGTTCTTAGAACCCAACACCGTTCTTATAGCAAAAACAATGTTCTCAGAACATAAGCCCGATGCGATAGAACAAGACAGGCCCAGCCAGAAATGCTCGGATCACATCTCGTGGGAACCACAGAAGGTTCTTGGAACATTGTTTGGTGGGCCTATGAGCGCGCCAGGACGCTTCGCCACTGCTTGAGTGAGGCGCCTCTGCCAGGAGGTGGAGTAGTAGTAGTAGTAGTAGTAGTAGTAGTAGTAGTAGTAGTAGTAGTAGTAGTAGTAGTAGTAGTAGTAGTAGTAGTAGTAGTAGTAGTAGTAGTAGTCGTAGTAGTAGTAGTAGTAGTAGTAGGTCGTAGTAGTAGTAGTCGCTAAAGTACTAGCATTTCCGTAGTAGTAGTAGTAAGTAATAATAGTAGTGTAGTATTATTATTAGTAGTAGTAAGTAGTAGTAGTAGTAGTTAGTTATAGTAGTAAGTAGTAGTAATAGTTCGTAGTAGTCGTAGTCGTAGTAGTGTCGGGTCGTAGTAGTAGTAGTAGTAGTAGTATAGTAGTAAGTAGTAGTTAGTAGTATTAGTAGTAGTAGTAGTTAGCAGTATAGTAGGAGGAGAGGAGGAGGAGGAGGAGGAGGGGATGGAGGAGGGAGGGAGGGGAGGGAGGGAGGGAGGGAGGGAGGGAGGGAGGGAGGATAACAACGATCTCCTACGCAACCCTGCTCGAGTGAGGCGCCTCTGCTCGTCGCGTCGCGAGGGGCTGCCCCGGACCCTTTTGCGAAGGCTGGCGGCGCGCCGCCCTTCTCGGGCGGCACTCGGAGCGGGGAGCCGCCCGCCCTGAGGTGAGGAGCTGCTGCTCCGTCGGGCGTGCCCCTCCACGGGAGGAATTCGGAGGCAGAAAAGCCACCACGATAACAACCACCCCGACGCGCGAAAGCCGCTTAGCAAGTGCGCCCAAAGAAGGAATCAAGCATGGCAGGGCTGTTTCGTAAACGCCCAGGGCCCTTTAGTAAACGCCACTTGGTCCGGCCTGGGTGGCTTTTCCTCCCTAATAGGTGAACGTGTTTTTACTCGGCGTTTCGACATTGGGCGGAAAAGGGGGGGAGGGGAGGGGTCTGGCTCCGGACCTCTGCCTAGTGCGACTGTTTGGAACCGTGCGTCCTATGGGGCAGGTACTCCGCTTGCTCGAAACAGGCGCCAGAAACAGCCAAGATCTACTCCAGGGGGGGAGGGGGGGGGTTGGGGCCCGCGCCGATCGGCAAAACAGTCAATACAAAAAACGATCACGTGCCCCTCCGCAGGAGGAGTGCTCAACAATAGTCTGGAGACGGTGTTGTCCACTAGCTTTGGCTATGTTTGGACATTATGCTTAGGCTGTTGCACATATATATATATATATCTATATATACACACATATCGCCCAACCTCTGCCTTTGGGAGGACATGCCCAGCCTAAAGCTTCTGCTCTGCGCGTCGCGGCGGCGGCCCCATATGACCGGGGCCAAACAACACAAACTCGTTCCCTGACTACTCTTTACTATTCTTGACTACTCCTCCTGTAGAGGGACATGCCCGACTTCACGCTACCGCTCGAGATCGAGGCAACGGCGGCTGCCTCCCGCCCGGCCCCCGTCCGGTCCGCATCGGCCCCCAGACCCGGCCCCGGGGCTCATCCTGACGCGGTTTTCTCGGCGGCGCGCAGAAGGGGGTGGAGGGAGGGGGGAAGGTTTCTTAGAAGGAGGCTACTTCTTAGGAGGCGGCGGTCTTACATTATACATAAGGTCCGCGCCTTCTACGAAGCAGGGGTGCTTCTAAGAAGCCTTCCCCCCTCCCCCTACCCCCCTCTGCGCGTGGCCGATTTTCGGCGGCGAGCGATGGGGGGCCTCGCGACGGCCCTAACACAGCCTCTCAAGACTGCCCGCCGACCCGGCACCCCGACGACCGTTCCAAATGTCGGGTGCGGCTGCCCTCGTCGGCCCACCTCGGAGCCCTCAGCGGGCCCCAGCCTCAGAATTGCCTGCGGAGCGCCCGAACACAGTCCCAAGACTCATGTTGCTCCCATCGCCCTTGAGGACCACACTCCAGAAGCAGCCCCGGGCACCCAGAAAAGTATCGAAGCAATGTCGAGCGCGTATCGCCTCTGAGGGCCCGACACGTGAACACCCTCCCTCAGGCTTCGGTGCTTCCTGGGTGCTCGAAAGTCTTGCTGGTGGTCCAGGCGAAAGTAGGCTGGACGCTCCTAAGAGAAGGCCTTCTCAGAGGGCGGCGCGGCTCCTCGGAAGCCCTCGCGCCCGCCTGCGGAGCAGTGTGCAACGTCTTCGGGGGAAGGCCGGGAGGCTCCCGAGCCCTCCGGGCAGGAGCCCGGCAACGTGGCACGAACACCACCAGGGACCACCAGCGCGAGGAGCCAGAGGGGTGGTCCCCCCAGGTGGTGTGGCTCCCCCTCCTCGCTCTAAGACAGCCCCTGTCCCCAGCTCGGGGAGGTCTCGCGGACCTCGCTGCCGGAGGTGCCCCTCCCCCCCTGCTGGTGGTGGTGTTGCCGCTTCTCCTTCTCGCGAGCTGAGAAGGCCTCCTCCTCCTCACCTCCCCCCCATCCTCCTCCTCCTCCTCCTCCTCCTCCTCCTCCTCCTCCTCCTCCTCCTCCTCCTCCTCCTCCTCCTCCTCCCCCTCCTCTTGACCTGGACGTCCGACACGGATACGAACGGGAAAAAAAAGGCACGATGCCCAGCAATCAATGCCGTCCATAACCCACAGCGGCCGCTTTGGGGCAAGTGCCCACTTGTCTCACATGCACCGCGCCCACGGCGACACCGACAGCGAGCACTGTGCACAATGAAACAGGCACTGCTATCGGTCTGCGTGGAGATTCTTTCAGTACCCGCTTCGACCGTACAGATCTGATCGCCAAGACCCCCCAAATCGGGCGTTGGCAGGACTGGGTTTAGTGGGACCTGGTTTAGTGATGTGTACTGGGGGACGCCCCCCCCGCCCCACTCCACCAACTGGAACTGCCGTCACCAGAAAAAAACACCAACTACGGCAGACACGGCTTAGTGATTCTGGCTCGGGGATGGACAGACCTCCCTTTCGTAAAATGTGGTTTAGTGAAAACGACCTGAGGCCCAAACCTGGCGGGCGCGCGCCTGGAAAATGACGGCCGCGGCGCCCCCTCGAGCACCGCACACGGACAATTCACTGATCGACGTGTCACTGTTGGGGGTTCTGTCCACCCCCGACTGGTCAATTTCGGGGCTCCAGGGCCCTACTCCTAACCAGGTCCCCTTGCCTGGGGTCCTGCTATACCCGACCCCCGAGCAGAGGTGGGCCGGCGCGGACCGGCGCGGTGCGCTCCGGCGTGCTCGCCGCCGCGGCCGCGGCGCAGCTGGCGGCCAGGAACGCCACGGAGGTCACGCGGCACTGGGAGGCCACGGGCGGCGTCGTCGTGGTCATCGAGGTCGTGGCGGTCGTGGTCGTCGGGGTCGAAGTCGTGGTGGTCTGCGGGGTCGACGTCGACAATGTCGTCGTCGTCGTCGTCGTCGTCGTCGTCGTCGTCGTCGTCGTCGTCGTCGTCGTCGTCGTCGTCATCGTCGTCGTCGTCCTGGGGGTCGTCCTCGAAGCCGTGGTCGTGGACGTCGTCCCTTTGGTCGTGCTCGTGGTCGTGGTAGTCGTCGTCTGTGGGGGGTGGGTGAAGGAGGACGATTCGACTGAATCAGCTCAGCGATGTTGCCGGCAAATGGCCGACTGGACAAGGTTAGCCACAGCACGGCCGAACGGAAGTATAACTCTCAGACACTCGGATAGGGCGAGGCCCTCCCCATCCGCCCCCCTCACCCTCAAGCTCGTCATCCCCCTTCTTTCGTCCTCCTCAACATTATCCTTGCCCCCCTTCTCCTCACCCGCCCCTCCCCAGCTCCTCCTCCCGAGCTCTCCTCCTCCTCCTCCTCCTCATTCTCCTCCTCCTCCTCCTCCTCCTCCTCCTCCTCCTCCTCCTCCTCCTCCTCCTCCTCCTCCCCCTCCTCATCTCTCTTCCTCCTCCCCGTCCTCTCCTCATCCCCTCATCTCTCGCCCACGCCTCCTCTCCCCCCCATCCTCGTCACCTTCCTGTTCCTCCTCCTGTTGCTGCTCCTCCTCCTCCTCCTCCTCCTCCTCCTCCTCCTCCACTGCAGATGCCCAAAAGGCACCGATACCGCTACTCCCCGGACCTCTCCCTGAGTGCGTTCTGACTAATACTTCGAGGCGAATCCAGCGGTGGCGACGAGGGCCTCCAAGGAGGCCCGAAGAGGGGAACACGGGCGAAGGGTACAGGTATAGGTACCTTTTCCTCCTCCGATCCACCCCTTGGCCAGCGGCAGCGACGCCCGTCGCGCGCCTGTTGGCCGAACAGGCGCAACGCCAGGGGGGGAGGGGTCTCCTGCGGGCACTGGAACGAGACCTGCTGGCCGGGCGACGCCTGGATCGCCCTCGTCGCCAGGGAGGTCACCGGGGAGACGTAGACCTGGAGAGGCGGCACGGGCAAGGGATACGAAAGGAGATCTCGTCATAGGGTGGCGGGGGAGGAGGGAGCAGGAGGACTAGAAGGAAGGGCGCGAGCAATGATGGTTCCGATGGTGATGAGGAGAAGAAGCTTCCAGAGGAGGAGCAGGGGGAGAAGATGGGAAGACGATCAGGACCGGGCTCACATGCAACAGGGTGGCGGTGAGCAGGAGGAGGAGCAAGAGACCGACGAGGACGATTCCGAGGAGGATGGGGGCCGACAGCGGGGAGAGAGAGCAGTAGAGGGCGGGAAGAGCGCGAGGGGGACAGGGGACGAGGCTGGAGGGAGCAGGAGGGCCCCGGAGGGAAGAGGCAGCACAAATCTTAAATGTCGGGCAGATCCTCCTACAGGGGGATTTTGGAAGAAATAAGCAAGAATACTCAGAACGTACTCCGACATGGTAGGAAAATGCTCGAACACTCTTCCCCAGACTAGCGCTCGTCTATTTTTGAATCTTCCTCCTGTGTCGGGGATCTTCTGACCCGGGTCAATCCAGACCCGGGTCAGACAGGCCTTGCGGAAACCTGCAGCTCCTGCAAAATCCTGCGCCCAGACCCGGGTCAATGCGCAGGATCCTGCCAAATCCTGCAGGATCCTGCACCCAGACCCGGGTCAGTGCGACCCTGGCCCTGCAGGACCCTGCAAGATCCGGCGCTCTGGCTGATCCCCGTTTTGACCACGGACCGACCGTCCCGGCATTCCTATAGTCCTGCCACGAAATGTTCTTAGAACCCCAAAGTGCTCGAAGAACAAACACAACGTTCTTAGAACATAAACCCGATGTGTTAAAACGAGGCAGACTCCGCCAGACATGTTCTAATAACACTTCGTGTGTGTTATATATATATATACGTATATCAAACATTTCCAAAAATATAAAAAAAAGGTTCTTAGAACATTGCTTGGTAGGGCTATAGGCATGCCAGGACGCTTCGCCACTGCTGGACCCTTTGCGCTGACGCCCGTCGCAAGGCTCCCGCACTGTGGCGGGGACGCGCCCGCCTTGGCACAAACAACATCCCTGTGGGCGGCGCGCCGCCTCTCCGTTGCGGCACGGGCGGCGCGCGGCACAGCCCGGGCGGGCGGCCCGCCTGCCACGCCCCCCCCCCCCCCCCGCGCCCACGGCTGGCGCCCCCCCCGCGCGGCCGCAGGCAGAAAACTGCGAGACGGAGGGAGAAGAGCACGCGCCACGAGCAGAAGCTCGTGGCCAGCAGTCGAGACCGCTGGCGAGGAGGGGCATCCTTACCCAAGGGTGCCCCTTGCATCCCTGCCCCCTCGGACCATCCTGAGGCCCTGTCGGTTGCCAGACCCGCTCGAGAAGCTTCGACATGGGCGCCCAGGGGGCCTGCATCCTTTTTACCGCGGATCCTTACTCTCATCGAAGACGAACAAAAAGCGCCACGAGCAGAAACTTTCGGCGCTCCGCGCGGACTTCTCGGATCTGCGCTGGACCCCCCGTCCCTGGCGCGCGGGGCGCGCCAGGGACGGCGCTGGAGGCGACGCGGGAAGGGGGCGGCGTGGATCCAAGGAATCCGTGCCAAGCGCCGAAAGCTTATGCTTATGGAGTTGTTTCTTCTTCGATGAGAATAAGGATCCGCGATGAAAAGGATGCAGGCCCCCTGGACGCCCATGTCGAAGCTTCTCGAGCGGGGCTGGTAATCGAAAAGGCTTCAGGATGGACCGAGGGGGCAATGATGCAAGTGTACCCTTGGGGAGGATGCCCATCCTCGCTATCGGTCTCGACTGTTGGCCACACCCGTCAACGCGCGTCCGCCTTGCGATCAAAACTTTCGACCCCACTGCCATGAGGGAAACAAGTCCCGAGGAGATAAGACGAAGCCAGGACAGGGACAGCATCGGACAAAGACAAATCGGGGATCTCTGAGATCCGGCGGCTCTGGAAGATGTATCGGGCGCCGTGGCCTTCTCAGAGCGTGCCGGAACGCTCTGAGAGCAGACCAGCACGCTCTAGATCGATGTGACCCCGTCGTAGCCCCGCCCGACCTGCCATCGCTCGTGTGCCCGTCCCCCCCGCACTTGCTCGGCTCCGCGCGCGGGTTTGCTCGCAAGAGGATCCAGGGGCCCAGGCCTGCGACGTCCTGAATTGTTCAACACGGGGTCCCTGGAAGTCCCGACCCCCCCCGGGAGGAGGAGGAGGAGGAGGAGGAGGAGGAGCAGGATGAGGAGAGTCGTTGTTCGACGGCCCCGGGGCCCGGCGGAGGCCCCCCTTGGGGCGGAACTCGGCCAACAACCTCTCCCGTCCTGACTTTGTTTTGTTCTGCGACGCGGTCATGGCTGGGGAGGCTCCTCGACGGCCCTCGCCGGGTATATATATATATATACATACACACAGAGAAAGAGAAAGAGAGAGAGAGAGAGAGAGAGAGAGCGAGGCGCGCGTGCCCGAGCGCTGCCCAAGAGCCGAGGCGAGGCGGGCCCTGCCTGGGCCCCGTGGGGCTCCCTCTCTCTCTGTCTCTGGATTCCCGAAGCGGTGCGGTGACGGGCCGTGCGGTGACCTCGACATCCCCCGCGAGACCTCGCCGCACGGTGCGTCACCGCACGGTCCTGGGAGCCTGCAGGCCCCTGCCGCCCAAGAAGTCCTCGGGAGAAGGACTCGAGTCCCAGAACCGTGCGGTGACTCCGAATCCACACCGACTCACCACACGGTGTGGTCACCACCCCGTTTGGGGGCCCCCGGCTCTCCTGTAGACCCGCTCTGCGCAGCCCGAGCCGCCTCTCTGACGGCCGCCGAGTCCTTCTTCCGAAGTGCGCACGAGTGCTGCCACGTGCTGAGCGCGGTCTCCGAGCGCCGCCTCCTCCTCCTCCTCCTCCTCCTCCTCCTCCTCCTCCTCCTCCTCCTCGACCACGTCCTCGTCCTCGTCCTCGTCCTCCTCCTCCTCCTCCTCCTTCTCCTCCTTCTCCTCCTTCTCCTCCTCAGAGAGGCAGGGATGAGGCAGCGTCCTCAATTGCGCACCAGTCGCACCTGGACGGAGGACGAGGGTGCTTTGGGGTCACGCTAGGGGAACGAAGAATGACATAATCCTAAAAACTCGGAAGTCCGCGCGGATTTCTCGGATCCGCGCGGGGGGGCCCTGGCGGCGCCTCCGGCGCCGCCCCTGCCGCGCTCCGCGCGCCAGGGAAGGGGGTCCAGCGCGGATCCGAGAAAAACCCGCGCGGACCTCCAAGTTTTTTATGTTTTGACATTATTCGTTACCCAAGGTCTCCACTCCCCCCCCGCGCCTCCTCCTCCTCCTCCTCCTGCCGCTGCGCCTGCTTTTTTGTGCCTCGGACCGCCTCGGAGGCGCCTGCGCATCGCTCGAAGGCTGCTTAAGCCACGCGGCCAGGGACCCAAACAGATACCGTGAACACAGAGGCCTATCTTGAGCACGCGTGGCAAGGACGCAGCCTGGCCCTTGGGCGGCCGAAGCGGGGACCTCTTGGGGCGGCGGCGACCAGTGAAAACGGCAAAGGACGGGCCGCAGAGGTGAGGGACGCAAGGGCACCCTAGATGAAGGCGCGCGTTCTTAGAGCGCATTTCGATGAAGGCGCGCGTTCTTGTTCGCGGCCGTAATGGGCATTTTATGATGGGGGGAGGTGGGGCGGGGGCGGGGACGGGAGGGTGCATAACGTACCGCCCCCCCCCCAGACTGGGGTGCCGAACGCACTGCAGCAGTGCTGGGGACGCACTGATGGGGGGGAGCCTTACGTTATAGGGGGAGGGAGGAAGGGGAGGTAGGGTAGGTGGCAGGACGCGCGTTATGGCCCAGAGGGTCAACAAACACGATCTCTTACTGGGCGCGTGGACTGCCTGCAGTTATTCCGAGGCGGCGAGGCGGTCCCATGGGCCCCCCCCCTTCCCTCGAGACCCTCTCTCTCCGCAGCCCGCCACGCCTCCCTGCCGGTGGCGCTCTCGAGCCGGCTTGGTCCGATTGGGGCCCCAGGGCCCGCTGTGGGGCAGAGACGCCCGCCGCGGCTCTCGACACCCCGGCGGGCGGACGGGGGGCACTCTTCCTCCTCCTTCTCCTCCTCCTCCTCCTCCTACTCCTGCTTCTCCTCACTTCCTCCTCCTCCTCCTCCACCTCCTCCTCCTCCTCCTCCTCCTCCTCCTCCTCCACTCCTCCCCCCTTTTTCCTCCTCCACCCCCCCCCCGTCCTCCTCCTCCTCCTCCTCCTCCGCCTCCTCCTCCTCCGCCTCCTCCTCCTCCTCCTCCTCGTACTCCTCCTCCACCTCCTCCTCCTCCTCCTCCTGTTCCTCCTCCCCTCCTCCTCCTCCTCCCTCCTCCTCCTCCTCCTCCTCCTCCTCCTCCTCCTCCTCCCCCCCTCCTCCTCCTCCTCCTCCTCCTCCTCCTCCTCCTGCTCCTCCTCCTCCTCCGCTGTGACGCTGCACAAACTTAGGGCTGCAGCCTGGGGCGATACTGGCGGAGAGAAAAAACTGTATCGAATGCCGACTTAGGCTGATAGCAAGCCAATGAGGCCTGGAGGGCGCAGCCGAGAAAGTAGTTCGAGTGGAATTGAAAACAATGGTGGGCCCCCAAGGGTAAAGAGCATGCGCCCGCCAGTCCTCTTCTTCCTCCTCCTCCTCCTCCTCCTCCTGCTCCTACTCCTCCTCCTCCTCCTCAAACTCCTCGTCCTCCTCCTCCTCGTAGGAGGGCCCAAGGTAAGGCGGAACAGCAGCAGGGCGGATGAGGATGAGCATGAGGAGGAGGAGGAGGAGGAGGAGTAGGAGGAGGAGGAGGAGGAGGAGGAGGAGGTGAGAGGTACAAGACCGAACAGGGGCAGTGGGGGCGGAGGAGGAGGAGGGCTCGTCCGAACCCCCGCTCCTGCTCCGCCTCGCAGCTCCCGCCTCCTGCTCCCTCGCCCTGCCTGCCGCCGGTGCATCCACCGCACGCTGCTCGCGCGCACGCCGGCGCGTCAAACCCTCCGAAGGGCGCCGACACACAGGGCAGCACCACCCGGGAGCAGAGAGGCGAGCAGGGGCGAGCAGAGGGCGCGGTAGCGAGCGAGAAGAGGGAGCAGAGGGGCGGGTGGCGAGGCGAGCTGCCATCGAGACGGGGACATCTGGAGCAGTCCATGATGATGATGATGCCGATGATGATGATGCTGATGATGATGCTGATGATGATAATGATAATGATGATGATGCTGATGATGATGATGCTGCTGTTGATGATGAGGATCATCAGCATCCTCATCATCATCAGCATCGTCATTATCATCATCATCGTCATCATGATCACCATGATCATCATGATTATGATCATGGTCATGGGAGCGCTTACGCGAAAGCTTAGGCGGGCAGCTTACGCGCCAGCGTCGGCCAAGACGACCAGGTTTTCTTGCGTCGCTCGATTGACCTTGAAAGGTCTTCAGAACACCCCCCCAGTAAGGGGGTAACAAAATGATTGTTTCGGCGGCCGGGTTAACTAATCACTCTTTCCGCGGCAACTACCGCGCAACAACGACAACGACGACGACAGCTACGACTACGATGAGAAGGAGGTGGAGGAGGAGGTAGAGGAGGAGGAGGAGGAGGAGGCGGAGGTTTTAGAACCAGTCCTATTCACCGCCAGGAGAGAAGGGGATGGGGACCAAATGAAAAGACCTTTAGCGGTTATCGTGTTGGGAGGAAGGGGCTGGGAATATACAGGGCACGACTGTGCAACCAACAGATTCAGCATACGTGGTCACATAGACGATGGCTGTCATGCCTCCCCGCCCCATCCTCCCGGCCCGACGGTTGGCGTTCCGAGCCTCCTCCGACATTTCTCGCCCTCCGTCTCCTCCCGGTCAACCCCCCCTCCTGCCACCAACGGCGATTACATCCGTACCCGCGCCCTCGCGGTCTGGACTCCCCGAGGGGCGCCATCCTGCGCACACGCGGTCTCGGCGGGGGACAAACCTCCGTTTAGTAGACCTCCCCTCAGTGCAACCGGCCTGGACCCGCAAAAACGACGGGCCTGGACCCGCAGAAACGACGCCCGCGAAGCCCTCTCGCGAACCGAGAACGGCCTATTCCTCGATCGACGTGTCAGGGTAGGAGGTCCATCAGACTCCGACTAACAGACCACCCTCCAATTAGATCAAATTACACCAGAGAAAAACCCCAATCAGTGCACGGCTTTCGCTGAGGAGATCGACCGGGACCCCGGGAGCCCTGGAACCCAAAACCCACCGAAATCGGCCCAGAACCAATAACCAAGAACCCGGGAACCCATCACCTGGAACCCAGCCTGCTGCCAAAATCGGCGGGAAACTTGCGCCGAATCTCTCAACCTCCGACGGTCGCACGGGACACGCTCCGCGCGAGGCCTCCGCGAGCGAAGTGAACCCCACCCTCCCCCTCAGAAATCGTGGGGGGTAGGGGTAGGGTTCGCATGTGGCCCCCTATTTAGGTCGGACGAGTGCCCCTACAGGGGGATTTTCGACGAACCATTTAAAACATCCCCAAAAAATGCTCCAACAAGGACAAAGGATACTCAAAAACATACCGTCCCCAGACTATGTTTGGATCATTTCTGCATCATTTTGAAATTATTTTTCATTTTTCGTCGGAAATCCACCTTTAAGGGGGACAGGCCCGACTGAAGGTTAGGTCGGGCGTGTCCTCCCAGAGGCTGGTTGTGGACGAAAATCAGAGAGAGAGAGTCAACAGCAGCAGTCAACAAGAGTCTGACATAGCAAGCAGACAAAACCGTCTCCAGGCGACTTGCTCTCTATTCTTGAAGACTCCTCCTGCACGCGCGGGGGCACGCCCGACGGAACGTCGGGGGGGGGGAGCCGGCTCGATGGGGGTGAAGCAGCGACCCGCCAGCGGCGCGGCAGCGCCGAACGATGGGCGATGGGCCCCCGATGTAGGAGAGAGGAGGAGCAGAGAGGAGGAGAAGGAGGGAGGAGGAGGAGGAGGAGGAGGAGGAGGGAGGAGGAGGAGGAGGAGGAGGAGGAGGGAGGAGAGGAGGAAGATGGAGGTAGGAGGAGGAGGAGAAGGAGATGGAGGAGGAGGGAGAGGCGGGAAACAGAGGAGGGAGGAGGATGGGTCCACCACAGCGGACGGGGGCGCCCGAGGTCCCCCGGGGGGGCGAACGGGATCCGGGGGACCCCCCCCCGCGAGCCTAGACCCCCCCCCCGCTTCGCTCGGCTGCGCGCAGGAGTGGCCTCTGGGTAAGAGTGGCCTCTGGTTGACTACCTACCAGACCACCCCAACCCAACCCGAAGACCTGAATTTGACCCGAATTTCGGGTTGGGGGGGGTACGGATACCATGTTTTTTTCAGCGTTCCCCGACCCCCCCCCCACTGGAAATCGAGGATAAATTTGGGCCTTCGGGTTGGGTTGGGGTGGTTTGGTGGGTGGTGACTGGTGCGGGGCTTTGGGGGGGCCGCGGGGGGGCCAAACACAGGCGCGCACGGCGCTGCTATCGCACCGCGTTCGGTCGGCGATTCGGGGGCCCCGCTGGGCCCGCACCAGAGGTCACTCCGGCGAAGGGTCACTCTTACGTGTAGTCGATTAACGTTGCCCCCAACCTTCTCTGAGAAGGGACCGAGCACCCCGGCGTCCCCATAGGCCTACCACGATACGTCCTTAGAACGAGCAAAGTGTTCTAATAGCAGGCGCAATATTCTTAGAACATGGTGCAAATGAGACAAACCAAGACGGCCTCAGCCAGGAATGCTCTGATCACAGTCTTCGGCGGGCCTGCAAGCCAGGACGCCTCGCCGCTGCTGGACTTCTCCTCCAGACAGGACGCCTCGCCGCTGCTTGACTTCTCCGCCTCCTCCTCCTCCTCCTCCTCCTCCTCCTCCTCCTCCTCCCGCCAAAGACCTCGCCGGCGTCACCGTACTCGAAGGCCCCGTAGGCGCCGTCCACGTCCAGGCAGAGCCTGTAGCTGGCACCGACCTGAGGGGGTCAGGACCACCACAGGCCGCGAGCGTCGGATCTTCATGCACACCCGCTGTTGCTCCTGCATCTGATCATACATTCGGCGAACTTGAGCGTCTTGGCCGTAGCGGTCGAGTGGGGCATCGCGATAAAAAAATGGAAAACGCCGACTCAGGCTGTGGTAACAGGTGAAGGCTGCTGTTAGAGAGGACGTAAGAGATGTAGACAGAAATTGTGAAATGTCAGGTGCCCATGTGGGCGCAGAGTTCCTGCTCCTATTCCTTCTGCTTTTCCTCGTCGTCCTGCTGCTGCTCCTCCTGCCCTCGCCCTCCTCCTCTCCCCCTCCCCCTCCTCCTCCTCATTCGCCTCATAGTCCTCCGCCCCTTCCTTCTTCTCCTCCCTCTCCTCCTCCTTCTCCTCCCACTCCTCCTCGTTAACCTCCTCACCCTCCCCATCATCCTTCAATGCTCGCCCTCCTCCTCGTTCCATGCTCGTCCTCCTCCTCCTCCTCCTCCGACTTGACCGTCGACGCTGCTGGCATGTCTGCCCTCCTGTCACTGGTGCCGTCCCCCTCCTCCTCTCCTCCTCCTCCTCCTCCTCCTCCTCCTCCTCCTCCTCCTCCTCCCTCCTCCTCCTCCTCCTCCTCCTCCTCCTCCTCCTCCTCCCCCTCCTCCTCCTCCCCCTCCTCCTCCTCCTCCTCCTCCTCTCCTCCTCCTCCTCCTCCTCCTCCTCCTCCTCCTCCCTCCTCCTCCTCCCTCCTCCTCCTCCTCCTCCTCCTCCTCCGCCTCCTCCTCCTCCTCCCTCCTCCTCCTCCTCCTCCTCCTCCTCCTCCTCCTCCTCCTCCTCCTCCTCCTCCTCCCTCCTCCTCCTCCTCCTCCTCGCTCCTCCTCCTCCTCCTCCTCCCCCTCTCTTCCCACCCGTCCTCCTGCTGCTTGCTTCCTCCGCGCCCGGCGCTCACCCAGAGAAGCGTGCGTCACGCGCCGGCGTCCGCCCTGCCATGCTGCGAGCCAGGTGTTGGTTGTTACCCCTCCCGAAACACGCACTGCACGCCGACGCCAATCCTCCTCCTTTCGCTTCTTCCGCCGCCTCCTCCTCCTATCCCTCCCCTCCTCCTCCTCCTCCCTCCCTCCTCCTCCTTTCCCTCCTCCTCCTCCTCCTCCTCTTCTTCTCCTCCTCCTCCTCCTCCTCCTCCTCCCTCCTCCTCCTCCTCCTCCTCCTCCTCCTCCTCCTCCTCCTCTCCTCCTCCTCCTCCTCCTCCCTCCTCCTCCTCCTCCTCCTCCTCCCTCTCATCCTCCTCCTCCCCCCCCCTCCTCCTCCTCCTCCTCCTCCTCCTCCTCCTCCTCCTCCTGCTTATCCTCCTCCTCCTCCTCCTCCTCCTCCTCCTCCTCCTCCTCCTCCTCCTCCTCCTCCCCTGTTTGTGTTCGCCCTCGCACTGCTTCGCCTGGCGCGCACTTGCGACACGAGCCGACACCGTAACCGATGTATCCCGGCCGGGGGCACCGCATCTCCATCCCACATGAGTACGGCATCAGTTATGCCGATGCGCAGTCGAGGCGCCTGGCTACTCTCTCTCGCTCTCTCTCAATCTCCGACGCCGACGAGTGCACAAGACGATATCTGATGGACTATTCTAGACCTTCTTTGCCCAGCGATTTAGCAACATACGCATTTCCTGCCACGCGTGCTCGGGATTGCCTCATGAAAGGAATCGTCTTGACCCAACGGCCATCATCAACATTTGCACATCTGACTGTACATCCCCCTGGAATGAGGACAAAGATGGTATCTCTCTCCTCTCCCGTCGCATCCCGCTCAGCTTGCCCCCATTTGCTGCTCCCTGGAAGGGAAGCGCGAATTCGGAACCCACTTCTCCCCAGGCATGTTCTTCAGAAGGGGCGCTCCTCTGTTCTTCACATCTCAGACCTTCCCGAGGAAGTGGAACCTGGCCCAGGGTGCCCTCATCTTCTCGGGCCATCTTGAGCCACTGTGGGCCCCTGTGGCTCGCGAGGGGCGCTCTGGAGGCCATGTGTGGGAGGCAACCATGGGGGGGCCTGGCACAGGGGAGTATGCAGCGACTTGGAATCGGCGATACATCGCCGGTAGATCGGCGATAGGCCCCCGATAGTGAATCCGCACCTTCCTGGGCAGGTTGGGGCTTTCGGGCCCCGATCGGCGATCAATGGGCGCTTGGGGTCCCTGCATCCCCCCGTATGCCTATCCCCCCCTATCGTTGCCCCTGAGTGTGGCCCTCCCTGGAACAAGCTGGAGCCAATGTGGATCAGGCTCAGGACCACCTTTCTGGCAACACCTCAGCACCCGACCCTCGCCCCGGGCAGCAACAGCCGATAGGGCTCGGGCCTGCAGCGACTGGGCCTCCACCCGGAGCGTCGTGAGCGCGCCCGCGGCGTCGACGAGCGCCAGCGGGGCGACGCTGCTGCCGTTGCCTGAGGATGTCGCGGGCCGTGTTTACAACGGCGACTTGGACGTGGCCCGCCCTGGACCGCCCCCTCGCTCGATCCGCGCTGCCCGCTTGCGGAGGGAGAGCGGCAGAAGGCAGAAGCCAGGCGAGCTCGCGCCACATCGGACAGCCAATCCCTCCCTCCCGTCCCTTCTGGTTGCGCGGATGCTTCTCTCTCCGCGGGCGCGTGTCGTGGCCGATCTGGAACTGCACAGAGAAACCCCGCTGCGCTGGACCTGTGGGAGCGGTGGGACCTGCGAGACCTGCGAGACCCGCGAGACCTGTGGGGCCCCGGCGGAACCCATGGGACCTGGGGTGCATCAGTGGGACCTCAGTCGTCGGACCTGTGGGGCGTGCGACACCAAGGGGACCTGTGGGACCTGCGGGACGTGTCGGACCGGTGAAAGTTGTGGGACATGCGAGACCTGCGACACTCTGTTGGACCTGTGGAATGGGACCTGTGGAACCTGGCGGACGCGTAGTGCCCGCGGGAGCTGTGGGTGGGACCCGGGGGGCCTGCGAGACCTGCGAGACCTGAGAGACCTGCGAGGCGGCCCGTGGGACCCAGAAGAGCGGCCCAGGCTGAGGCGAGAGCGCCAGTATGCACGACGGGAGCACAGCGCCGATCCGAAAATGAGGCCCCCGACGCAGCGAGAGCACCAATTCTGAAAAACCCTGAAAACACTCGGGTTGCAAGCCGTGCGAAAAAGTCAGTTTGCGCGACTCCTGTGTACAAAAACCATACGCGGAGGGGGTAGCACTCTCAGGTCATGCTCGGGGGACGCAGGGGAGTAGTTTCCATATCCACTAGCTATAGAGCGCGAGGAGAAGAGGAGAAAGATGGATGATGAGGGAAGGAGAGATGGGACTTGATTGCTGGGAACGGGTACAAGGCCAGGTGATCCAAGATATCAGCCCAAATCAGTGGCTCCAGATATGGCCGCCCTTACTCTCTAGTGGGATATTGCTATTCTTAGTATTCTTCATCGATCCATTCCCTCCCTCAAAACCAAACGTCGCGACCAAAATCCAGCGAACCGCGAATAAAACGGGGACTCTTCGATGCAGGACGACGAAGCTCTGGTGGACTCCTCGCCCAGGGCGCCTTCCTCTGGACGAGGTCGGCCTCCACGAGCCCAGGCTCATCAGGATATGGGTGCGAGGAGACCATGGGGAGGACGGGGATGAGGATGTGGATGAGGATAGGGACGATGCTGCTAATGCTGATGATGCTGACGATGACGATGATGCTGACGATGATGATGATGATGATGATGATGATGATGATGATGATGATGATGATGATGATGATGATGATGACGATGACGATGACGATGATGATGATGATGATGATGATGATGATGGTGATGGTGATGATGAAGATGATGATGATGATGCTGATGGTGATGATGATGCTGATGATGATGATGATGATGATGATGAAGATGCTGATGCTGACGATGATGCTGCCAATGATGATGATGATGATGACGATGATAATGATGATCCTGATGAGTGTTGTTGATGATGGTGGTGATGATGATGCTGCCGATGATCATGATGATAATGGAGATGAGCAGGAGGAGGATTTGAGGAGACAAGGATGAGGAGGATGATGCTGAGAAGTGATGGCGAGGATTATGCTGCCGCTGCTGCTGAGGAGGAGGAGGAGGAGGAGGAGGAGGAGGAAGCGGGAGAGGAGGAGGATGAGGAGAAGGAGGAGGATAAGGAATGCGAAGAGAAGGCGAGGATGCGGGCCTGCGCCGCCGCACGGCGCCGCTCTCAGCAGCTGCACCTGGGGAGGTCCGCGGCGTGCCCATCGATCAAATATTCTGCCTCGCGCCCTCCCTCTCCTAAGGTTAAGTCGGGCGTGTCCCCCTACAGGGGGATTTTGGGCGACAAATAAAAGTTATTCAAACAATATTCTGAAATGGTCAAAAAGAAATCAAACAATCGTCCCCGGTCTATTTTTTGACTACTTTTGAATATTCCCCATGTAGAGGTAGGGACAGGCCCGACTTGATCCAAAGGGGAGGAGTCGAAGATGCGGAAGGATGTGGACGGGGCCTGTGCTTCCCGAAGAAGAAGAAGAGGGAGGAGGAAGGAGGCGGAGGCGGGGCTTCCGGAGGAAAGGGGGCGGAAGGAGGCGGAGAGGGAAATGGACCTTCTTCTCGCGCACAGAGAAAGAACGTTGTGGCCTCCGGGGATATTCTGAAAGTGCTCCGGAGGTGCGGGGGGCGACTTGTGCCCACTCTGACCCCTGCCTCGAAGAAGGGAAGGAAAAGGGGGGGACCAGGATGGGGCGGGCGAGGGGGGGGTGGGGGGACGGTTGACGCGCCGGTGTGGGGGAGGAAAGGCAAGGGAGGGGGAGCGGAAGGATCACCTGGAAGGATCACCTGACACGTACCAATGTACGAGGGGGGGGGCGAGAGGAGGGGGGACAAGGGCAGGAGGAGGAAGGGGGGGCCAGCGGGGAAGAGAGACGGCGGGGGGCGAGGGGGGACTTTTTGTCAGCGGCCGCAGGCGAGCGCGCCAGCGGCGAGTCCAGTCAAAGCGGGGCACGCAGCGACAAATTCACCTAAAGCAACGGCGAGGGGGGGCGCGGAGGCTCGCAGAAAAGGCGAGCCCAGGCTACGGCAGCTCAAGATCGGTCCCTGGACCCCATCCCAGGGCCCAATCGCACGAGCTTTCCGAGCTGCGCCCAGCCGCGGCGACGAGGGGGCGCCCCGAAGCCAACTGGCGTTGCTTCAACTCGGCACCCACTCAGAGGAGGAGGCGGCGGAGGAGGACGAGGAGGATGAGGAGGAGGAAGAGGAGGAGGAGGAGGAGGAGGAGGAGGCGGGGATTTGTTGCGGCTGCACGGCAAAAAGTGACCCGAGGCAAGAGTGACCGTTCGTGCGCGGACTCAGGAGGCGCAAGGTGGCCAAACCCAGGCGCGCGCAAGCCGCCGCTGCCGCAGCGCGCTCAGCTCTCGCGGGGACCCCCGTCACTCCGGGGAAGGGCCACTCTTACGCGCAGTCGACTGGTGGGCGAGGGAGGGCCGGAGCTTGGCGGGCGCGGGCGGCGGATCTCCCGGGCGCCGTGGTCGCCGCCGAGCACGCGGGGCACGGCAGGCGCAGCAGCTGCGCCGCCTTCGGCTGCAGCACCAGCGGGCCCGCCCCGAGCAGGGGCGCGGCCTCCGGCGCCAGGCCGATCCACGGGTGCTGGTCGCCCCGCCTCCTCCGACTCCTCCTCCTGCTCCTCCTCCTCCTCCTCCTCCTCCTCTGACTCCTTCTCCTCCGCCTCCTCCTCCTTCTCTTTCTCTTTCTCATTCTCTTTCTCTTTCTCTTGCTCTTTATCCTCCTCCTCCTCCTCCTCCTCCTACTCCTCCTCCTCCACCTCTTCAATCTACTTCTCCTCCTCCTCCTACTTCTCCTCCTCCTCCTCTTCCTCCTCCTCCTCCTCTTCCGCCGCCTCCTCCCCCACCTCTGAAACCTCCACCCCTCCTCCTGCTCCTCCTGCTCCTCCTCCTCATCAGCCTCCTCCTCTCCTCCTCCTCCTCCTCCTCCTCCTCCGCCTCCTCTTCCTCCTCCTCTTTCTGCTCCTCATGCTCTTCCTCCTCCTCCTGCTCCTCCTCCTCCTCCTCCTCCACCTATTCATCCTCCTCCTCAACCTCAACCTCCTCCTCCTCCTCATACCCCTCCTCCTCCTGATCCTCCTCCTCAACCTCCACCTCCTCCTCCTCCTGCTCCTCCACCTCCTCCTCCTCTCCCATCTCTACCTCCTCCCCCTCTCCTCCTCAGCCTCCTCCTCCCTCCTCCTCCTCCTCTCCTGCTCCTGGTCCTCCTCCTCCCTCTCCCATATCTACCTCCTCCCCCTCCTCCTCCTCCTCACAGCCTCTCCTCCTCCTCCTCCTCCTCCAGCTCCACCTCCTCCTCCTCTCCCATCCCTACCTCCTCCCACTCCTCCTCCTCAGCCTCCTTCTCCTCCTCCTCTCCTCCTCCTCCTCCGCCTCCTCCTCCTCCTCCTCCACCTCGTCCTCCTCTCCCACCTCTACCTCCTCCCTCCCCTCCTCCTCCTGGCCCCCCTCCCCCTCCCCTGCCTCCTACTCCCCCATCCCGCCTCCCGGTCGCGCAAGGGGGCGCCGCCAGCCGCCCCGGCTCACACCGACGACCGTCGGCCGATCGCTGCGCCCGCGACCGCGCGCGCGATCGCGCCGCTGCCCCCCCCGACGGTCGGCCGCGCGGCCGGCGGAACCGCGCGGCCGTTGGCGTTGCGCAAGGGGGGGGGGGGAGGGGGGAAGGCTCCTCAGAAGGAGACTGCTTCTCAGAGGGCGCCGGCCTTACATCCAGAGGCGAGGCCCGCGAGCTCTGAGAGGCAGGGTGCTTCTAAGAAGCCTCCCCCCTCCCCGAACCCTCGAGGAGGGATCGACCACAGCATTGACCTACATCGTCGAATCTGTAGAACCGAAACGTAGGATGGTTGTCGAGTCTACGAAACTGCTATGCACTGTCTCGCAAGCTCGACGAAGCAATGATAACGGGGGAACTCACTTCTGCAGTCGATCCCCTGCTCGAGTGCCCCCTGTTGCGCGTGGCCGAGGTCGGCGGGCGCCCAGGTCTGGGGGCACGGCGTAGACGCGGAGCCCGGTGTCCCCGGGCGGGAAGGCGGGCTCCTCGCCGGCCGCGGCGGCGGGCGCCGAGCTCGGGGCGGCAGGAGGATCTGGTGCGGCCAAGAGGGGGGTGTCCAAGAGGGGGGGATGCAAATCATGACCGGTGGCATGTGCGCGGCCCAGCGGGGGGGCCAGGGACGTAATGAAATAAGAAGAGGCGCCATGAAATCTGGGAGATATCATGGCCCACGCCATGATATCCCCCCCCCCCTAGTCATCACCCCCCTCTTTTCCGCCCCCCGAGGGGAGGCCTGCCATCGCTCGGACGTCCATTCCCCGGGCATGTCTCGGTCTCGCGCTCGTCTCTCCGCAGCAAGATGGCCCAAAATGCTCCTCGATGGTCCTCGCCAGAGAAGGCACACGCCCGGGCGATGCCAAGGAGTGGGGGTGGGGAGGAGCAGGAGGAGGAGGGGGGGGAGGAGGAGGAGGAGGAGGAGGAGGAGAAGGAGGAGCAGGAGGAGGAGGAGGAGGAAGAGGAGAGGAGGAGCAGGAGGAGGAGGGGGGTGGAGGAGGGGGGGAGGGAGGGCAGCGAGGAGGGTGATGAGGGAGGAGGAGGAGGAGGAGGAGGAGGAGGAGGAGGGAGAGGAGGAGGAGCAGGAGGAGGAGGGGGAGGAGGAGAAGGAGGAGGAGGAGGAGGAGGAGGAGGAGGAGGAGGAGGAGGAGGGGGAGGAGCAGGAGGAGCAGGTCGCGGGAGGCCCGAGAAAGGGGGGAAATGGTGAACGAGAGGCAGGGCCTGAGCACTGCAGGGGGGTGGGGGCGGGGAGGGAAGGAGGGAGGAGGGTGGTTTGGAGGGAAGGCAACCGATTGAATGGACCAAAGCACATGATCAGCTCGCCCAAACAAAACATGTGTAAAAAGCCAGCTGCGCGGAGGGACCGAATGGAGAAACAACGTAGACCAAAAAAGCCTCGTTCGCGCAAAGCTGGTGTAAAACAGCCAGTACGCGGAGGGGCTACTCGCAGCACGTATTCGGGGGAGGGGGGGTAGTACTCATATTGTGTAGCGGTGGAGGGGAGGACGGCAGGGGAGGGGAGGGGAGACGGGGCCCGAAAACAAGACCGAATTGAAATACTTCGGCATGTTTGCTCATTCCTTGGCGCCGACAGGCTAGTTCGAAGTGGTCTGTGTAGTGACTCGTCAGGTCATTAAAGGACCCTCTTCGGAACGAGAGTTGAACAGTCTCTGCGCCGCCAACTACCCTTGACCGGCCTCTCTTGTTCCCCTCGTCAGCGCTCCTGTGCTAGTGGGGATACATGAAGCGTGAAGAATAGTATGGCACATGGACCTGCCACTGAGGACGTGGCCTGTGTATGGCAATGATACGCTGCTACGTGCAGCAACGCAACTGTTGCACTCAACAACTAGTTTATACATACGGTCAAGTATCGATGGATAGCGTGTGTTTCTGGGGCGCGAGTTTCGACACTAGGTTCCACGCTAAGTGAAAACTGAAGCAGGGCTCGAAGACGGGAGGAGGGGGCCGGAAACGGTTGAGGAGACAAGGAGGAGTGAGCAAAGACACGAGGGCAACGGAGGGGGAGCGAAGAAAAAACGGCAACGCACGCAAAGAAACGGAAGAACAAGGATAAGAAAACCAAAAGCGAAGTGGATGTGGTTAATGTGGCGGATGGCCGAAGCCACACCGCGCGGCGCACGCCGAAAACCCAGCGATCTTCGCGTATCTTGGGTTGGTGTCCGAGTTCACCAACCCAAGACACACTAAGTACGGTGAACTAGGTTTCACGCGATGTGCGGAGGCGCATAGCGAGGGTAGACCGTTCCCCCAGACACGCTATCCATCGATACTTGACCGTCTACACAAAGGATTATACCCGTCACCAGCGCGCGCGCCAGCAAGAGAAGAGCCAGACAAACTGCGACCTGTGCGACGTGGTGGCAACTTCCCCAGAACGAATCCCCCGAGTATCATTTCCACGGCTGTCAGCGCGCTCCAGCCGACATGCGCAAAACATTGGACCGGCGCACATTGCGCATCGGATCTAGCCAGCTGAGCACGGCAATCATGACGATGGAAACCATTTCGTACGTGGTGGTCTTCGACGAGTCATCCGCCACTGCGTTGCTGGGCACGGAGTGGGCGTGTCCTCAGGTCCTTTGCCGCATCCCCTGAGCCTCAGTCTTCCCTCCTGAAGAGTTTCTTGGGGGCCCAGAGCCCAAATTCTCAAAGCTTCTGGGGCTTGGCGCGGCTTCCATGAGCTCCGGGGCCTCCTCTCGCATGACCTTCTGGGACCCAAGAGGGCCCCAGGACGGACCAAGAGGAGCCCAAGAGGCCCCCAAGACGGTCCAAGAGGGCCCCGAAACACCCAATGATCGTTGCAAGACGCCCGAGATCGCCCCCAGATGGCCCAAGAAGCGTCCAAGACGTACCAAGAGACCTCCAAAGGACCTCACAAGAGGGCCCGGAGAGCCTTCTCGCCTGCTCGGCTTTTTGATGCTCCAAGACGAACAAAGAGGCCCCCAAAGATCGCCCCGGGACGGCCCAAGAGGCCCCCAAGACGATCCGGGCGAGCCCCAAGACGGCCCAAGTGGAGGCACCCAAGGCGGCCCAAGAGGGCCCAAATGCCCCAAGATTGGGCCCAGATGAGGAGCCAGAGCTGACATTTCGAGCCCTCGGCCCCGAGGGGGCCCCAGGCCCCAAGCGGCCCCCAAGAGGCCCCCAAGAGGCCCCCAAGAGGCCCCAAGAGGCCTCCAAGAGGTCCCCAAGAGGATCTCGGGAGGCCCCAAGAGGCTCCCAAAAGACCCACAAGAGGCTTCCAAGAGGCCCCAAAACTAACCCGAAGAAGCATCCCCGAGAACTCTGACCCACAACCTTCGGGCCAGCTCGCCCGAGTCGATTTCCGCTAGCTCGGTTGCATCCCTCTGCCCTCCTTCCTTGTCCTTCTCCTCCTCCCTTCCTTCTTTCTTCTCTTTCAACCTCCTCCCTCCTCCTCCTCCTCCTTCCTCCTCCTCCTCCTTGTCCTCCTCTCCTCCTCCTCCTCCTCCTCCTTCTCCCCCTCCTCCTCCTCCTTCTCCCCCTCCTCCTCCTCCTCCTCCTCCTCCTCCTCCTCCTCCTCCTCCTCCTCCTCCTCCTCCTCCTATCTCTCCATCTCTCTCCTCCTCCCCTGTCCGCCCTCTTTCCTACTCCCGCATCGCACGCGCTGGTCCTTGCCGTCGACGTCGAGGCAGAGCTTGTAGTGCGCGCCGGGTGACAGGGCCTCGGCGGCACGCGCGAACGCCCGGAAGAGCTGAGCTCGGGAAAGGCTTCGGGCTGGGGATCGTCGCAAGTGCCGCGGCTTGGCGTTCAGGGGCGCCAGGTGCGGACCGGCGGCGAGGGAGGAGGTCGGCCGGTCGGATCGGGGAGGCGGTCCCCGTGCCGTGATGAGCGAGGAGGGAGGAGAGGGGGGGGGGAGCCCCGGCGCCCGCCGCGCACCACCCCCATCGAGCTCCTGCCTCGCATGCATCGCCCCCTGTCCCCCGCACTCTCGCGTCCGCCTTCCCCCGTGCTCCCTCCCTGGCCTTCCCCCCCTCCTCCTCCTCCTCCACCGCCTCCTCCTCCTCCTCCTCTTCTTCTTCTTCTTCTGATTCTTATTATTATTATTATTGTTCGTCTTCTTCTTCTTCTTCTTTTTCTTTTTCTTCTTCTTCCTCCTCGTCCTCCTCCTCCTCCTCCTCCTCCTCCTCCTCCTCCTCCTCCTCCTCCTCCCCCTCCTCCCCCTCCTCCCCCTCCTCCGCCTCCTCCCCCTCCTCCGCCTCCTCCCCCTCCTCCGCCTCCCCTTTCCCTGGCCTACCCTCAGGGCTTCGCGAGACAACTGCAGCCGTGGGGGCGAGCCCTTCGCCGCTGGGTCCGTCATCCCCCGGAGGGTCCGGCAGAGCCCTGGCTTCAAGGGCGTCGTCACCTCTGCTGCAAGCAAGGGCTCCCCCAGTCGTCTCAGTATGCCCCCTCCCTCCTCGCCCGCTCTGCCGCCAGTAGAAGAAGGAGAAGAAGAAGAAGGAGAAGAAAAAGAAGAAACAGAAGAGGAACATTTTTAATAATAAAATAAGAACAATAGTACTAATACTAACAATGATAATACTAATAATCATAATACTAATACTGATAGTTATTACTATTATTAGAAAATCATAGTAGTAATAGAAATACCAATGATAATAATAATACTACTAATAATACTAATATAACAGTAATACTAATAATAACAATACTAATACTACGAATAATAATAAGAATAATGAAAAGAAAATCATTCTCTGCATCAACATACACTTTCGGATGCCCGCGCACGCAGACTCCTCGGATCCGCGCCGTACCCGGCTCCCCGGCGCGAGGCGCGCGCCAGGGGTGGCACCGAGGAGGCGCCGCCGGGGGTGCCGGCGCCGATCCAAGACGTCCGCGCGGACCTCGCAGACGAATGCGTCTGCCGACGACTCTGCACGTCGGCCTGAAGAGGTACGGCGAATTCGTGCCGTGCCGACCCCGGCGTCGGATTCTGACACCGCGTGGATCGTTCAAGCTGGAACGATCGGCGGCTTTTCGATCGCCAGATCGTCCCATGTAGGCCGATTCTGGGCCACTGGCGGCGTTCAACCTTGATCGTCCGCGACGGGGTCGTCGCCGGTCGACACGACGCGAACCTACCGTAGGCAAACACATGAGGTGGGAAGGCGGGTAGAGAGGAGATTGGGTTCAGGCCCTCCCAGAGCACAGCAACAAACGTAGCAAAAGCAGATCGGCTCTTGAAGTGGGAAGGCGCTCGAGGCTTGAGGTGGACTGGGACCTGGGCATCCAAAAGTACATAGTTTCAACAACCAACGTGCACTTCTAGAGGATGGGGTCGGAGTAGATGGGTTCGGATGCTGGCCCAGGAGAGCCCATGACGGCTCCAGAGAACCCCCAGGAACCTTTCGGAGAGCACCGATACGGCCCACATGAGGTCCATGTTGCCCTTCGAGAGGCGAATGCGAAAATGTGTCACATGTGACGTTAATCGCCTTCGTCGTAACACACATCATCACCACCATCCCCGTCGCCCGCCTTATGTTCGTCATTGTCGCCATCATCACCGCGATCATCTACCACAATCGTCATCATTGCCGTTGCCGACAGTGCTACCAAGTACCGTATGTTAGTCATCAGTGTCGCTATCATCAGTATCAGCATCTCAATCGCATCCATCGTGAGCATACGAACTATCACAACACAGCCACATAGCATCACAATCACCATCAAAATGATGTACATCATCATTGCCATCAACATCACCATCACAAGAGTACCATCGTCGTCATCATCATCACATAACATCACAATCGTCATCATCAATATCGTAATCAGATCCATCGTGCTAGCAACGACCCGTGTTCAGCACAGGTACCTCCGGGCGCCATCGTCATTAACACCATCTCATCTCATTCACCATCAGCACGAGTATGATCACAATGATCATCACCATCCGCATCATCAACAATGGTCTCAGGCGTCGCAAGTTTCGCCGGCCTGACGATCTGGCCCTGGGATAATTTTCGCCGGCGTGGCACCCCCCACGACGTTTCCGCCCCACGTTTAATAACGGAATTAGAGTAGTCTTAGTTCGGGTGTCCCCATACAGGAGAATTTTGGACGAGAAATTTCAGATAGTCAAAACGTATCCCACAAATCTTCAAACATACCAAAAAATCGTCCCCAGACTACTTTTGGACTATTTTTGAATATTCCCCTGTAGAGGGACACGCCCGACTTAGGTCCAGGAAGCCCAAAGCTACTTTTCAGGTGACCCACAAGGGGGTCCAAAAGGGGGGGTGCAATAGATTTTGGGCAAGTGTATTGCCAATGGACTGCGCCCGAGAATCGCATGGCAGGGTATTGCAAATCATGCGTTGCACGCGAAAATCCAGCAATACATCTGCGCCCCGGAATGTGTTGCACGCCCCAAGTGCATTGCAGTCCCACCTCAAGCCTCGAGCGCCTTCCCACATCAAGAGCCGATCTGCTTTTGCTACGTTTGCTGCTGTGCTCTGGGAGGGCCTGAACCCAATCTCCTCTCTACCCGCCTTCCCACCTCATGTGTTTGCCTACGGTAGGTTCGCGTCGTGTCGACCGGCGACGACCCCGTCGCGGACGATCAAGGTTGAACGCCGCCAGTAGCCGAGAATATTGCACCGCCCCCTCGTCGCTGCGTCGCTGGACCCCCTTTTGGGCCAACCCAGCTCTCTTGGAGTCAGGCCGCCCCCCGGGCTGCCGGAGGCTCCCACGCTCCCCCCCCCCCCCCCCCAGTGCCCTCCTGGGCGGCCCTGGGCACAGGGCCCCGGCGGCCCGTGAGCCGACCGACGGCATGCCCGTCGGGTGCCTCCTGCCGCCGCTCGGACCTCCACGTCCCGTGCCTGCTCCGGCGTCGCGCGCGTCTCTGCTTTGCTGCTGGCTCGAGGATCCGGGATTCCGGGATGCTCTCCGATGCTCCCCGCCGAGAACAAAACACGGGCACACGTCCGAGCGATGCCAGGTCGCACGGAGATTCGAGCACGACTCCGTGCAAGCGGGCGTGTGTACATCTGTACAGGTCCAGCGTATGAGCGCCACCGCGCCTGCAACGGTAGGTGTGTGTGTGTGTGTGTGTGTCGTCTGTGTGTGTGTGGTGTGTGTGTGTGTGTGTGTGTGTGTGTGTGTGTGTCGTGTGTGTGTGTGTGTGTCGTGTGTGTGTGTGTGTGTCGTGTGTGTGTGTGTCGTGTGTGTGTGTGTGTCGTGTGTGTGTGTGTGTCGTGTGTGTGTGTGGGTGGGTGTGTGTGTATGTGTGTGTGTGGGGGGGGGGGGGCGGGACCTCTTGCGCCCTCCAGGGCAGCGCCTGGGGCTCCCCCCCCCCCCGACGCATCGAGAGCCCCAGCTGCGCGCTCGTCTGTACGACCAAGGCCCTGCGCGTTTTGGCCTTCCCCGCAGAGCATGTGCCCGAATGCGAGGCAGCAGGGCCTCCTGGGAGGAGGAGGAGGAGGAGGAGGAGGAGGAGGAGGAGGAGGAGGAAGAGGAGGAGGAGGAGGAGGAGGAGGAGGAGGAGGAGGAGGAGGAGGAGGAGGAGGAGGAGGAGGGGGAGAGAGAAGAGGAGGAGGAGGAGGAGGAGGGGGAGAAGAAGGAGGAGGAGGAGGAGGAGGAGGAGGAGGGGGAGGAGGCTCCTGCCCCCCTCCCCAATGGGCGCCCGCCCGAGCGTGGAGGCGCCACTGTAGATATCGCGCGGCAGCGCCACTTGAGATCAAAGAGGAGGCGGCGTGCAGAGGGATGCACACGTGCACTGATGCCCCATAATTTGCGCAGTGCATGCGCACATCTACTCTTATGTGGGAGAGGGCTACACATACACATACACATACACGTAGCTACTTATAGAAACATGAGAGCACGTATATACACAAAACCGATTGGGGGGAGGGAGGCGGAGGGAGGGGACATCTCATTTGCATACATGTCTACGTGCACACAAACACATGTGCAAATACAGTGAGATGTATATACTCTAGAAGAGAGAGAGAGAGAGAGAGACAAACAAACAACAAGGAGAGAGAGAGAGAGAGAGAGAGAGAGCGAGAGCAAGACAGGGAACAGTAGGACCCGATAGGGAGAGCGGGAGGGAACCCATGGACGCGCGGGACGAAGTAGGCACAACGCGGAGCACAACAGACAGCAACAGACGAGGATCGGAGGAGGACGACGCCGCGCAGGGACGGCAAGAATCCGAGGAGGAGGAGGAGGACGACGACGGCGACGACGACGACACGAAGGACGACGACGACGACGACGAAACGAAGGACGACGACGACGACGACGACGCCGACAGCGACGACCCCTCGGCGGCGAGCAGCGGAGCCCTCCGAGGACGGTGCGGAGGCGTTCACGAGGGCGGCCCACCGCCGCCAGCCCGTCCCGGCGACCGGCGCCAGCGGCTGCGCCACCACGCCGGGGACCTCGGCTCCAGGGAGGAGGAGGAGGAGGAGGGGGAGGAGGAGGAGGAGGAGGAGGAGGAGGAGGAGGAGGAGGAGGGAGGAGGAGGAGGAGGGAGGAGGAGGAGGAGGAGAGGAGACTGAGAAGGGGGAGTGCGTGAGGGAGGGAGGAGGGAGGAGGCGGGACGAGGAGGCATGGAGATGATGTAAAGCGAGGAGGAGAGGGAGGAGGAGGGAGGAAGGAGGAGGGGAGGGAGGAGGGGAAGGGGGAGAGGAGGAGGAGGGGGAGGAGGAGGAGGAGGAAGGAGGAGGAGGAGAGGAGGGGGAGGAGGAGGGGGAGGAGGAGGAGGAGGAGGAGGAGGAGGAGGAGGGAGGAGGAGGAGGAGGAGGAGGAGGAGGAGGAGGAGGGGAAAGGGGGACGGGAGCCCGTGCTCCGATGATGCCCCGAGCCACCCCGCCGCCGATGCGCTGGGCTGCCGCAGCACAGAGAGCAACAGGAGGTAGGCACTGCTGGCTTTGCAACAGGGTGGGCTCCTGCATCCTCCCGATCCTCCTCCTCCTCCTCCTCCTCCTCCTCCTCCTCCTCCCTCCACCCTCCTCTTCCTCCTCCTCCTCCTCCTCCTCCTCGCACGTGCCCCAAGAAAGAGTCCTCATCGTCCCGACCGCGCGCGCGAAAGAGAAGCACGCGCCTGGCTGTGCAGGGCGTAGCTCTCGGGAGGCGTGGCCAGCACCTTGCCCTGTGCTAAGAGAAGGTTGAAGAAGAAGAAGGAGACGACAGGAACCTCGAAGGAGCGAGGGGACGGGGAGAGAAGTCCGAATCGCCCGATGGGGCAGGCTGGGACATCATGCCCTAGGATTAAAGCGACATTGTGGAGAAATCTGGGACAGTCCCAATAGTGTTGCTGGGTGTCGGGGCACTTATAGCATCCTATACGGCATTCACATTCTTCAGCATCATGCATTCGTCCTGTAGTAATCCACGCTCCGCATAGAGTTTTCCACACGGCGTTAGCAAAGCTCGGTTTCGAATTGGCAAGGACGGAGCGAACCTCAGGCCAGTTTATACGGGAGATCTGTTCTCGATGGGACGGGTACCACCTCTCAAGCCAAGACCGAAAATCTCTAGATAATGTATCAGGGAACAGGGAACTGTACAATGAAATACTCACAATTCTTTGAACTCTAAGGCGCTGGGAGCTGACACGATTCTCGGAGGCGTTTCTCACGGCCTCGAGGGCCTGGGGACCAGCGACAGAAAGGAAACGAAAAGACGGGAACCCAGCAGCGGCTTCGGCGAGGTCCTGGACCAAGGCCTGATTTTTCCAAAAAGACGGAGACAGCTGATTGCGGCGGCACTGGACAATGGGGAGGTGTTTCTCGGCCTGACGTTTGAGACCGATCATCAGAGCCCCGTGTTCGGGAAAAGTCGAAATAGCGCTTCGCATGAGCGTCGCCAACTGGAGGACAGCGACGCTCGGCACAGCGGGTCCCCCCCAATTCTTCAGATTGAAGAACCCCGATCTGGTGAGACAGCAGTGGGGGACGTTAAAGAGTGACGCGTGCAACGCATGCTCCAGGCGACGGGTGGGGCAGGTGAAGAGGGAGGACATCGAGGGAGGAAGAGAGAACTGACTCACGTAAGAGAGGCAAGGCACGGCACGCTTGGCATACATGTACTGTGTGACCGACGTCGGAGCACCGATGCGCGAAATCTGTGCTCCTCTCTGAGCCCACTTCTGCAGTGGGGCACGCCAAGCATGATCCGTTACCGCTGGTCCCAGCTTCATGCCGAGATAGACTAGCATGGGTACAACTTGAAAGCTTGCCCACGCGGGCGCATGCTTCTTCAGCCAGAGGGTGTAAAGCTCTGCGAGATCATTAGAGAATTCACCTGCGAGCGGCACTATAAAACACTTGGCTGGCTTGAGTTTTAAATTGGTGGCCCGTTCCCCCCAGTCGAAGATCTCTTTAAGAACCTCTAGAACGCATAGCTTAGCCAGAGCAGAGCCAACATCGTCAACACAAGCGCGCGTCAGAGCGTATCTGTGTCGATCGAGTCGGTCGTGGAACGCAGCTAGCATAGGATGACTTCCAACCGCATACAGGGCCCCCGAGGCAGGACACCCCTGGATTATTCCGCTGGAGAGGTCGAAGAGATACTGAAGACGACGATTTTGAACACCGAAACATTGAACCACTTCATAGATACTTCTCAGGAGCTTCAAGAGAGGGTCAGGGATGTTAGTTCGGGCTAGGCACATGAACAGCCACTCCTGCGAGACCGAGGGGAACGCTTGGCCGAAGTCGAACGAGATCAGTGCGGGAAGGTTGGCCCACGCCTCCTCGTCCATAGAGCAGATCCTGCAAAACTGGTCGAGTTCGAGAATGTTCAAACCGAAATTGCGACCCCTGACGAACCCGCGCTGCGAGAAAATAATAAAATCTCCCAGGGCCCTCGAGAACTTCTGAATGGCGACACCCGTCACAATCTTGTTGCAGGTCTGCTTGAGGCCGAGGGGTCGGGTCTGGGCACAGGTCCTGATGATCTCCTCAGAGTCGCCAGGCTCGGACCCCTTCGGGATGAAGGCGCCTCGCACATAGTTGAAAGACGGAAGAAGGGCTCTGCCTTCGAGAAGCCACCATAAACACCTATCAAGCAACAGAGCTCCCTGAGGATGGTTTTGCCACGCCGCATATGGTAATCCGTCAAGCCCAGGGGCACTATGAGACTGCTTCTGAATGTAGATTTCTATCCCACGGAGAGTAGGCGGAGGGAGGTCGTGGAGGTAGGCCGTAGGCGGGTAGGTGTCGAGGAGAGAGACAGCTGCTTCCCGATCAATCGGCTTGGCGGCAAAAACCTTCCCCCAATGCTCTGAGAGCTTCCCCAGAATATCTCCAGGTTCCCGACAGACACCCGACTCATGCCGGAGACCGTGGAGATGAAGGCGGCGATCAATATTCGACCAGAGCCTGCTTCTCCTGACGAGTCCCTTCAGCCTACGTCGATGTTTGTTCCTGTCTCTGTCGCTCGAGGCGTTAGCAATGTCATGATTGACCTCTTGCATCCTGGAGTTCGCAATCTTCATGTTCAGGTCGTTCGAGACTCGAAGGAATTCGTCAGGCTCTAAAAGTACCACGCTCCGTTGGAGAGGGTCGATGTCCAGAAAACGCTCTCCGAGCGGGTGCGAAGCACGGACACGCCGTGCGCATGCAAGATCCTGCCTCCAAACCGCTCTGGCTACCGACTTGACCACCAGGAATTGGGCCAGGGGACTGCTGGGGTTCTTGATCAGGGTATGGTCGCGGGCATGGCGGGCAGCTTCGCGCATGATCATGGTCTGGTACTCGAGTTCCAGTGGCGGGGAGAGGCCATCCGTGGGCCCAGCCACCAGTGCTTTCTCCAGGAACCTCCGAAACTGCAGACTCTGGAAGATTTCCTTAGGGATGGGTCGCTCATGGCCAGGGATACTGGGAGCGGCAGCCAGAGAGACCAGGACGGGCGCGTGGTCGGACAACCCCAGCACGTCCAGCGCCTCGGGGTGCTCGGTCGCTTGGCCCTCAATACTCAACTGGTTACAGAGCCATCCAGGGCACGAGATAAAACGGCGATCAATTTTTGTCAGCTTCTTATCAGGCTTGTAAAAGTGGGTGGGCTCGGGGAACTCCACCTCAACCATTTCCCCCAGGACTCCAGAAAACTGAGACGCCGACTGAGAGCGCCAATTCTGAATGTTCTGGACGGCCGAGACCAGCGGGACCTCTTCTGAGTACCGAGGGGGCTCCGAGCTGAAGTTGAAATCGCCCAAGACAACGACCAGGCACTTGTGCGGCGTCGAACTCGCAGCACGCAACCTGGCACGAATTGAGCTGGACACTCGCTGCTTCGACTCCGCGGGGATCTTAAAATTATGTATGTTAAATATCGATATCCATTCATCCCGAGAGAATTCCAAGATCGTGTGGATGACCCTCCCCACGACGATGTCTTCCCTTCCAATGTTGGGGCGTCGTTCACCGAGATGGTCGAACGTCGGAAAAAACGTGACAACTCCACCTTTTGTTATCGACGATGTTGAGGAGGTAGGGGGGGAGAACGAGTAGTGGGTACCGATGTCGGGGCGGTGAGTGTGGTAGAGGAAGTCCTCGAGCTGGGCCAGGGATCCCCGAGTTTCCTGAAGAGCCAGGACACAGCCAGGACCCAAGAATTTGCGTGCAAGATTGAACTTCTGGGAGCAGATAGAATCCTTGTAATGGAAGAAAGAACGAGCGTTCCAGCTGCAAAACTGCATCGGGACTTGTTCTCCCGATTCTTTTGACCAGGTCCTGAAAAGGCTAGGAGCTCCACACAGTCTCGTTGTCACCCTCGAATTCGCGGTCCAACTCGGAGGCCAGCGCCTCATTGTCGATGCCGAGGGAGACGAGGTTGGAGACTGAGTACTGGATGTCGGGCTTGGAGTCCCCGTGGCGAGGCGTGACCTTGACACAACCTTTCCACTGGCAACTAATCTCACCCTTCTGCTTGTCCGTGAAGAATCGAAGACCTGGATGTTTCCTTTCAAGAACTCTACGAACTTGTTTGCAGGCCAACTCCCGCTTGATCTGGCACGCATTCTTGTCACCTGAAACATAGATCTCTTGTCTCTCGCCACCGACGTCGACGGCCTCGAACTTTTGCCATGACCCGTCCTCCCTCTTGAGGGCGCCGAGGGCCTGCGAGACTTTCCTACCAGCATATTGCTTACTTCCAGAAATTCTGAAGACGAACCGTTTTGCCGTGGGACTCCCTTCAATGACATAGTCCTCACTGGAAAGGTTGACACGCTCGAGCCAGGGCCGCAGTGCTCGCTCCATGACGTCCTTGGCCACCAGCTGCTTGGCACGGGCGATGAGGATGGTGGTGTCGACCAATCGATCAAAAGCTGGATCAGCAGGAGGAGGCTGAGGAGTTTCCTTCTGCATGATGCCGAGAATCGACTGCAGGGCCTTGACCTGGTCCTCCAGCGTTTTGACTCTCTTGTCATGTC